CTTTGGGGCCAGGACGGGCTGAGGGGCAAAAGGGGCCACCTCTGTTTGCAAAAGGGCCGGGAACTGGGGTTTTTGAAACCTACTGATTCGAGGCCCCCTTCCCATGGGGGTCGCGCCAGGCTTGTTCCCTTTTTCTATATCGGTTCCAGGGGAAAAAGGGGAAAGACCAGAGACTTTGGGGCAAGGGGGGGGGGACGGACGGACAAACTTAATTATTAATTCATTCATTCAATGCCTTGTTTGTTTTTATACATGATTGAGAACAGGAGACAAGAATACTCGATGGGAAATCACACAAGGATTAAAACATTCGTCAAATAAGAGCAAGCAGCCCCAAGGTCAGAAAGGAAGCGTCAAATCAAACAGGGTCGGTCTGGAAAGCTTCCCCAAAGAGCAGCGTTTCCAGTTGCCTTCTGAACACTAGCAGAGAGGGTTGCTGTTGTTGTTTAGTCGTGTCCGACTCTTCGTGACCCCATGGACCAGAGAGCCCGCCGGGCCCGCCTGTCTTCCATTGCCTCCCAGAGTTGGGTCAAATTCATGTTGGTGGCTTCGGTGACCCTGTCCAACCATCTCATCCTCTGTTGCCCCCTTTTCCTCTTGCCTTCACACTTTCCCAACATCAGGGCCTTTTCCAGGAAATTACACCCTTTGAAATTATTATCCTTGACTCACAGCACCCAGAGGTTTCTGCAGATGGTTCATTCTGTCCACCTTCAGCCCTTTCTGTTGCACAGACAAACTTAATGAATGATGCCTTGCGATTCATATCTCGTTCTGCCTGTTCCCATCCACCCTTCTGTCTCTTGTTTATACCTAGTGTTTCTTTGGGCCTGCCTGTTTACATTTCAGAATTCACAATTGTTAACATGAGTTGCTCCTGTTTATTCAAAGGAGAAGGATCATCATGGCCTTGAGAGCGTGCGGCTTGATTATCTTCAGGAAGTTGCGAGCGGCGTCACCGGCTCCTGCTGTTGGAAACAACATTGAGTTCCTCCTCCTGCAGACATCTTACGGTACTCACCATTGGACTCCTCCAAAAGGTATAGAATTTTTCCTGTGTCAGGCCTCGTGGCTTTTGATAGATCTGCTGTTTGTATCCCCAATGTTTCGGAGACCCAAAGGGTGGGGAGCAAAGGGCCACTGGCTGTCAGCTGGTGTTTTGCCAGCCCATCGACAGTTTGGCTCTTGAACTCAGTTGCCATGCTCAAAGCCTGGAACCGGAACCTGGAATTTAATCATATTTTGCAGCTAAAGGAGTTAGTAACACGGTGCTTTGGTCGTGCTTATATTTTATGGAAATTAGGAAAGGGATGACTCCACTGACTTCAAGGGAGAAAGGAATGTGTACCCTCGTTCTCCAGTTATAAGTATTTGAAATATTTTTACCCCGCCTTTCTTCTTAAGAAGGACCCAAGGAAGCCTGTATCATTAAAAGATGATATTTAAAGCTAAAACAGTCAGTGTAGGAATACTAAAAAGGATCAGAGGAATACCATACAAAAATACATCTGATCTGTTGATCGTCATAAAGTATTATACCATACAAAAAGGGGGTAAACGGAAGCAACCTCAAAACACAATCAAAGCAATAAGGCACAACCATCCATTTACGAACCCCACTCAAGCAGCCGTTCATCAGGAAAAAGCTTGCCTAAAGAGAAAGGTCTTTTGCCTGCTTGGGGAAGGACAACCAAGGTGGGGCCAGGCTGGCCTCCCGTGGGAGGGAGTTCCAGAGTTTAAAGGAGCAGGCACAGAGAAGGCCGTCTCCCGTATCCCCACCAAGTGCACCTGTGAGGGTGGTGGGACCAAGAGGAAGGCCTCCCCTGATTATCTTAACACTCGAGCAGGCTCATAGTGGGAGATACAGTCTTTGAGATAGCTTGGGCCCATGCGGTTTGGGGCTTTATAGGTTAAAACCAGTACTTTGAAGGGTGCCCAGAAACAGACTGTCAGCCAGTGGAGCTGCTGTCACAGGGGGCTGATGTTTGAGAAGAAACCTTCCCCACCAAATATCTGTTGCTCTTTGGAGCTAGGCAAGTGGTCTCTTTACCAGACAGTTTTGAGGTTGCAGCTTTCCCTCTCTCCTTCCATGGTGTCCGATAGAGTTACCCGTAGGGAAGCTGGGCTGCGTATGGGCAGGTTGCAGCCGGAGCCTGGTGGTGGCCTCAGCTTGGCCTCATTGGCAGTACCAGGTTCATTGAACCTCAGAGGGATTCAAAGCCAAGCCTCAGTAAGGCAGGCATGCTCTGCTTTCAGAGATTAAGCGTGGAAGCATGTAAATGCACCATGTTCTGTATCGGTCCACCAATGGGCACTGCCTGGATCCCCACCAGAGATTGGAAAAAATTGCCTTTTTAAAAAAAAGAGTGCAACCCCCTATGGTTAGGCAGCCTAAGGGATTCTGAGAGCTACAATCCATGCTAATGACAGCTTCTGTCAGCATCTGATCCATGCAGGAGACAGGGACTGGAGAACTTTTTTAATTTACAGTGGTGCCTTGCTTAAAGAGCACCCCGTTTAATGACAAAATTGCATAGCGATTAGGTTTTTGCGATCGCAAAAGCGATCGCATAACGATGTTTTGAATGGGAAAAATCACTTTGCGATGATCGGTAAGCTGTCTCGCTTACTGATTTTCCGCATAGCGATTTTTTTCCAACAGCTGATCAGCGGTTCCAAAATGGCCGCCAGAAAAAAAATGGCTGCCCGCTCTTTTTTGGGATGGATTCCTCGCTTACCGGGCAGCGAAAATGGCTGCCGTATGGAGGATTTTCGCTTAAAGGTAAGTTTTTACCCCATTGGAACACATTGAAGGCGTTTCAGTGCATTTCAATGAGGTTTTTAAAATTGCATAGCGATGTTTTCGGTTAGCGGCGATTTTTGCCGCACCGATTAACATCGCTATGCGAGGCACCACTGTATTCATTAAAACCTATCACAGCCTACATCCAAAGATCTGAAGGCAGTCAGGAAAGCAATACCAAACAACCTGAGAAATAAGAGGCGTATCCTTATTCTGTCTCTCATTTCCTCTTTTCTGCCTCAAGGGCCAGGAACCCTTTCCCTGCCATGCATATCTCCACATATTCCATCCATGCATAATGGAGACACTCCATTTGGAAAGAGAAATACATTCTCTGTTCCATGGAAAATGTAATTTAGTCTTAAGCCCATGGCGGCTCACATTATTTAGATGCACGCAGTTTTAAAAAAAACCCCACAAACAACACATGTTTATGGAATTGGGATAAGCATTAATCTGCTGTGGTTTGCCATAAGTCGTAAGATTGAATCCACACGACGGAGTGAGCTCCCGTCGCTTGTCCCAGCTCCTGCCAACCCAGCAGTTCAAAAGCATGTAAAAATGCAAATAGACAAATAGGTACCACATTGATGGGAAGGTAACGGTGTTCCATGTCTAGTCGCACTGGCCACGTGACGTTGGAAACTGTCTTCAGACAAAACGTTGGCTCTACAGCCTGGAGACAGGGGTGAGCACTGCGCCCTAGAGTCGGACACGACTGGGCTAAACGTCAAGGGGAACCTTTACCTTTTACTATGGTTTATAGTCCATTTCCCCTTTATAAACCCAGTGCCCCCAGTCCATATTTCCATTCCTGTGTCTTGCATAACATGTTGGTTCCTGGAGCCCATTTTTGGCCTTTCTGTGGGGCAGATAAGACTTGCTGGCCCACTGTTTTTTATGTCTGACAACATGCCAAAGCAGAAGTTGAGGCGCTGACCTTATTTCTTGTTTCTCTGCTTCTTTTTATGGTCACGTCATCCGCAGTGTTTATATTCCTGTCCAGGATACCTTTGAAAGGAAGCAAAGGATGGCTTTTCTCAGGAACCTTCTTGAGAATAAATTAAACATGCAGCTGGCTTGCAACAAGATCTTTATCCTGGAAATAATGGTGCCGGTCATGGCTCAGGAAACTGGCTCTCAAGAGGTCTTATCAGGCAAAACCAAAAGAAAAAAATTGAGAAGATAAAGAAGACAAAAACATTGTAACACCTTAAAAACTACCGTGTTTCCCCAAAAATAAGACAGGGTCTTATATTAATTTTGGCTCCAAAAACGCATTAGGGTTTTATTTTTATTTTTTTCAAGCCATCTATATTTATTCAAATACTGTCATGTCCTCTTCTGGTTGCTACACAGGGTTGGAGGGCAGGGTTTCACTTCACTGGGGCTTATTTTGGGGTTAGGGCTTATATTACGAACATCCTGAAAAGTCAGACAAGGCCTTATTTTCAGGTTAGGTCTTATTTTCGGGGAAACAGGGTAACTGCTATATTTTAATGTGAGCTTTCATGGACAAGTCCACTTTCTCATTCCTAAGAGTGGGCACACATTAAAGCTCACATTAAAAATATATGAGTTAGTTTTTAAGGTGCCACAACATTTTTGTCAATTTTTTTTGTGGTGGTGGGGGTTTGATATGCTAGCCCAGACTTAGCACAGCTGCCTCTTCTATAACTAGTTCCCTAGAGGTAGGGGAACTCCCATCCTCCCTGTCCTTCTCTCACTGCCGAGAGGGACTGGGGCTCATGGGAAGCGGAGTTCTGCTCCACCTGAGTCCAGCCCTTAAGTTGCTGGTCAGGGTTTGTCCCTGTCAGGGAATCCAATGGCCCCATTCTCCTAATTCATGAGACCTAATGTTCCGCTTGTTTCCACCGTGGTATTCACCTTTAACATGACAGGTGTCCTTAAAAGGGTTTCTCGTTCGTGGTCAAATGGTTCAAAGGCTTAGACTCAGTCTATCTTAGAGATGGCTATTGTGACCCTTTTGAGACCCACCGCAAACATCCCCTTGAATATATTATCAGGACACCTGATTCAGGTCACCAGGATATCGGAAATAATTGCCCTCCCTCTTCGGCTGCCCAAAGAGGATTGTGACACAGCACAGCTCCTGGGGTTTTGTTTTTGCGCAGCCCCGATCATCCTTTGTGGAATAAATTCAATGATAAAGGAACGTTGCTTTCACCATCCCAGTGAGGAAATTTTCTTTCCCTTTAAGCCTGGTCAATACCATGCTGAAACACATTTTGGAAACATCTAAGGTGGGGAAGGTAGAACATGTGATTTGCATGCCAGTCATTTCCCATTATCCCCAGGTTAAAAACGATTAAGTGGCAAATAATAGGTAAGATAGTTGTTGTAGGTTTTTCGGGCTCTTTGGCTGGGTTCCGAAGGTTTTTCTTCTTAATGTTTTGCCAGTCTCTGTGGCCGGCATCTTCAGAGGACAGGAGTCAGAACTCTGTATATGTTCTGGTGTAGTGTGTGGGATAGTTGAGTAAGTGTAGCTTTGGGATCAGCTTTTTGTCCTTTTAAGGAGATTGGGTGATTATGGTGATAAGGGTATTCCGCTGATCCGACAGCTACAAATACTCAGCTATCCAACACACTGCACCAGAACACAGAGTTCTAACTCCTGTCCTCTGAAGATGCCGGCCACAGAGACTGGTGAAACGTTAGGAAGCAAAACCTCCAGAACATGGCCAAACAGCCCAAAAAAACTACAACCATCGGATCCCGGCTGTGAAAACCTTCGAGGACAAATAGGTAAGATCTTTCTCTGTCTTTCACCCAGGAGAGCTGTTGCTGTTGGACAGGCTGAAAGTACTGCTCTAGAGGAACAGTAATCCCACCTGGCCTACAGCAATCTCCTGGGGCTGTTTTGAAAGGCATTTATGACTTAGTTTTCAATCTGAAAAGAGTCCTTTAGAGCCGAATGGAGAACATTTCGCCTTCCAGAAGTTGTTGGACTGCATCTGGATGGCAAAGTTTGCAGTCCAGCGGCATCTGGATGCCCACACATTCTCCACCCTGGTTTAAACTGAGTTTGCTTGGTTATCTTAAGTGATCTGTAACTCCACGCATCAGAGCCATGTTTTCAAACTCACCCATCTAGGCAGTAAATGGGCGGTTAGAGTATGAGGCCCCCTCAGTGTAACAGCTTTTTCTTTTCCGTTTTTATACCAACAAAAATCTCCCCTCTTTCTGTTTATTTGTTTATTGCCCCATTAGTGCAACACAGTATCCTGCGTGGTTTACAACAGCTATGAATAAAACACATGCTGTACAATCCAACTACAAATACTCAAATACACAACTAAAAAGTTTAAAACCGTTAGTAGGTAAGGCATGTGGGGCCAGTGGTAGCTTCATCGTATAACAGCAAGGCAGGAGACATACCATCAGGTGGGACCCAGTGTGGGAGGCGTCCCTGGAAAGCAGAGTTTTGAGTTGCTATCTAAAAGTTAACAGGGAGGAGGCCAGGCCAAGCTGTACCGGGAGCTGGTTCCATAAAGTCGGTGCTACTGCAAAGAAGGCCCAGCCCCTTGGAGATTATTTTTGGGCCTCCTTTGGAGTGGCTAGCCTGGAGGATACTAGCCTTGGATAATCATCTGGTGGGTTGGGTAGATGCCTTTGGAGAGAGAAATGCCCCAACCATGAAGGGCTTTGTATGTGGGCATCTGAACCCTGAATCCAGGATGCAACCGCTGGCCACCCATGGAGTGATGTGATCACGTTGGCTCAGCCAAATCTTTGGCTCCCCAAATGTTGCCGACGTAACCCTAACCCGCCTAGTTAGATCCAACCGAAGGCTCAGCCTTCTGGGCCACCAGAGACTGAGGATTCTTGCTGCTCTAGTGCTACCATGGAACAGGACAGCGATTGCCAGCTCCCCAGTTTGTGGCTTTTCTCAAAGGTGCCGTCTCTGTTTTGCTCTCAGGCCACGTTGACCCCGGGGAGGATGACCTGCAGACGGCTCTCCGGGAAACGCAGGAAGAAGCGGGACTGGACTCCACTCAGATTACCATCCTGGAAGGGTTTAAGAAGGAACTGAACTACGCCGTAAGAGGGAAGCCCAAAACCGTCGTTTACTGGCTGGCCGAAATGAAGGACTGCCACACAGAGATCAAGCTCTCGTCAGAACACCAGGCCTTCCGCTGGTTGACCCTTTGTGAGGCCTGCCAGCTTGCGGAGTACCCAGACATGCAGAGCGTTTTAAAGGAGGCCCATCAGTTTCTCTGCTCCCAAGGATGAGTTGTCTGAGGGGGCCCTGGGAGTGTGTGTGTTTGTAGCGGCAATGGCGGCGGTGTGGAATTAGAAACGGGCGGCATGGAGAAAAGGCAGCTCTCCTCTCCCAAAGATACTATAATCAGGATACCACTTTACTTAAAGCTTGGACACGTCTGTTCCTGGGGGGGGTATAGCTTGATATGAACTCAGTACTCGGAAAAGATGGCTGTATTTTTCCTTTTGTGAAGCCTTTAGGAAACCGAACGGGTGGGTCCTCCAGGCCTTTGCTTTGATCTAACAAGGCAGTTCCTGTTTCCCACCACCCTTGCGCCTCTGGCTTTGGACGGAGGCATGTCTCGTCACAAGTTCAAGGTACATCAGCACTGGTATGCCGTGGTACTCTCCCCTCCCCACCAAGGACGAGCAGCCGGCCGATAACGATGCTCCTGTTGAACAGTAGAAGGCAAACAATAGAACCACCGTACATGGTGCTACTCCCGGCTGCTATGTCTTGGCCATGATTGTCCTTTGTGAGCATCAGGGTGGCTATCTACTTAATGCATTCACCCCACCGATCAATACATTTAGGAATAACGTCCCCGTCTGCTGCCACTGCTACCTTAAAATGGTGTAGCCATACTTTGGATGCCCGTATCTTGCTTCAAACTGTTTCGGTTGGGAACTAGAGGCCCCTGGGAAAGGGATGCTGTGTAACACAGGACCACCTCATTCTCTCACTGCTCCTGGCCACCGTTGTATTGCCAGCCAGACCTTTTGGTGGAATTCTTTGCCATGCTGGTGGGGATTCTGGGAGTTGAAGTCCAGAAAAGGGACATCTCTCACTGGTCAGCAGCACACCTGAACCAGACTCCCATAGAGAAGGAGGCAAGAGTACACTGTATGGATTCTCCCCAGCCCATGAGTTTTAATTAATATTTATGCAGGTAGCATCCAGAATGCTATAGACCAGTGGTTCTCAAACTGGGGTCCCCAGATGTTCTTGGACTGCATCTCCCACAAATCCTGGCCAGCACAGCAGGTGGTGAAGGCTTCTGGGGATTGCAGTCGAAGAACATCTGGGCAACCCCAGATTTGAGAACCGCTGCTATAGGCATTGTACACATGAATAAGTAAAACCTTGTAAGTCATGGCATTGAATTGCTGCTAATTAACAGGATGCCAGCTGTGTTCCTGTTGGTTGACTAGGCATGTGACCATGGATGCAGCTAAGCATCACACGAGTCAGCAGAAAGTTGCTGTCCTGACTCACAGTTTCAGCCATGGGTGTGTAAATCACCAGATGGCTTTGGTCCATGGATTGCAGTCTTCAGAAAACTGATTGAAATATCGTCTCTGTGGAGCAAACCATTTATAGGGGTTGGATGTTCAGCATTGCCATGAAGCAGTTGGGAATGGTGTACATCCTGCCTCCAGAGGGTCACATTTGATTCCATAATTGGGCGGTTCATTCTTCTAAAAGCATTAAGTTTCCCACCAGATCCCAAGGGGAGGTCTTCAGACCCTCCAGTCAGGTGGACCACCTGAGATTAACAACTTGCATAAGAAATTCTCGTTGGTTTTTAAAATATCCCACTTTTGATTTTGTGTGTTTATTTTAAGTCACGTTTAAAACAAGCTGCATTGGGTGAAGGAATGCTATTAGTGGTATCCAGAAAGCAAAGTGGACCAATAAAGGTTTTAACACACATGAAGAGTGATTACATACTATGTCTTACACCGCTGCTGAAAATTGCTTTTTAAGGATATTATTTTTACACTGCTTTCATAAGCCACCAAAGATCTGAAGTTTGCAGAACAAGTGACTAGTCCTTAAGAAACCAGGAACTCCTTGGCCTCATCCACACTGTGCCTAAGGCCCTGATGGTTGACATGTCGCTCTGTACTTCATTATGTTTTTAGTTCACTTATAGCAAAAAGTTCATGCCTACTTTATAAAGCGGAAGCCTTCCAAGCAAAAGTTGTTTTAGGTCTCCTAAAATCATGCCTAGCTGTTCTTGGTGAAGTTAGGCAGCCGTTGTACACTCCGTGTCTCTCAGAAAAGGCTGTGTTAGGAGAACACACGAGTAGAAGAGCAGGCACCTTCTACAGGTCCTTTCCAACTTTGCAACACTGTTGGGTAGGTAAACTAGTCCCTGTGGGTGACTCAAAATTAGCCCAGGTGACCACAAAGAGAACTGTCTACAATGAGATACGCACAAGGGGCGGCGTGGTGCCTCTGCCTGCCTATGGCACAACTCCCTTGCTTTCTTACCAAGGCTGCTCATCTAACGAAGAAGGTTCGGCTGAAGCGCCGTATGCTCTGAGCGCAGAGAAAAGGTCTGGCCTAATAGGATTTCTCCCACAACCAAGGCTGCTCATCTAACGAAGAAGGTTTGAGTGCAGAGAAAAGGTCTGGCCTAATAGGGTTTCTCCTCCCACACCACCACCGGAAAAAAAAAAAACCAGGTTCAGCTCAGCAGGCAAGATTAGCATATGGAATAGTTCATGCTGTCAAAGAGCGGTGTGACATGGGGGGGGGGGGAAACCAGGTTCAGCTCAGCTGGCAAGATTAGCATATGGAATAATTCATGCTGTCGAAAAGTGGTGTGATGGTTCCGTCCTTCCATTCAATCAAAATCTCTCCGTGCCTCAGCGATGGAGAAGCGGGCGCTGGGGCTTTCTGCGTCGGAGGGCCCGCGCTGGGTGGCCCAGGCAAAGGCCGGCGCTCTTCAAGGATCACCTGGCGGCTCTTCAGAGCAGAGAGCTGCTTCTTCTTCCTAAAGGGTAAAAAGAGCAGACGTTTCCTTCCTGATGATACTTGGCGGGATTTTCCTAGCCGTACGAAGGTAAGAGTTTGGCCGAGTTCCTGCTTTGAACAACAGCAGCCCCAAAAGCAACCCTGGCTAAGCTGTGGCAGGAGGCGGCCTGCCAGCCAAGCTGACCACGCGAGATTAAGTGGATTGTGGTGTGTCCAGCAAAACCCATTTAAAGTCTGCATGCTCTTGCTCTTCCGTGGATCTTAAGCATAAACAGCAACCACTGTTTGCAAGGGAGAAATTGCAAGGGGAAAGAATTTTTAGCGTCGCTGTTGTTTCCGAGCCTAATCGCGTCTTTCTCTACTCCAAAATAAGCCCTCTTGGGGTTTCTCTTGGCCCTTATTCCCAGGTGGTTGGTGCAACGGGATTACAAGCTAGGTCCCGTTTAGCCTAAAAGGGAGGACTTCCATCAAAGGAGGTCCCTCTGAAGACAAGGGATGAACTAAAGGAAACTCCTGCTCCAGTTGCATTGCCTTGCACTTTGATTTGCCTGCTGAAACAACCAAGACTTACATTTTGGGTCCAAAAGGCTGCGCGCCAGAACTAAAAGATTTTGCACACCCCTCCTTGAAAATGCCAATGAACTCGTCAAGGTTGGCTTTAGAACAGACCTGCCTAGGGAGAGGTTGCAAATATCCCGGTGTGCTGGGCTTTTTGACCCAGCAGAGATGGGCACGGGGTCATCCCTAGACTTTCAAGAGCTGCACCCTTGATCCCCCACTCCTAACAGTTTTTTTCTTGCAAAAGTTGCTTCTTTTCAACAGGCAAAGTTTTTCCGCCCTCTAGTTCCCAGTGTAGGTCCATACAGTCCTAGGGGTTACAGGTGGAATCCTCAAATCATGGCAGAATGGCCTCTTATCCTCCCTGGAAGGCAGGAAATGACTTTTAAAGCCTCCCCCCAAAAAAGCTTTATGTCTGAAGAAGGTGAAGAGCCTGAGGAGTCCTAGAAGGCACACATGTTGGGGGGGGGGAGAGGGAGGACGTGCTGTATACAGTCTACGAGGTTGGCCTTGGGTCCTTTCGGGGGAGAAAGGTGGCATAGAAATATTGTAAAGAAAATGAAATCAATAAGGTGCAAGTCATGGACCCTTTGCTGTGGCTTTTGTCCCGTGAGGGTCATTGCTTCTTTAATCTGGAAGCATGGGATGCTCAGATTTTTATTTTATGGCCATGCTGCTTTTCTACCCATTGCAGGACCTAAGACAACTCACAAAGGCTTTTTTAAAATTAAAACCACAAGTTGGGGAGCCTGGCAAAGGCCAGCCACCAAACGAGGTCACGGCAGAAGGAAAGACTGAAATGAAGACTAGAAGGAAATGTAGAGGAGTTGATTGCCTATTAAACCCAGAAACCTGATGGGATTTTAAGGCAAGAGGGATAAAAGCAGGGATACTAGCAAGCAAAGAGTCCCCCAGCCCCCCTCCTACCCGCCACCCGCCCTCCACTTACTTGTTGTGATGGATGTTGAGCAGAAGAATGATCACCCCTAGGATGAAGGCCAGCGGGCTCAGGACGAGCATCACCGTGACCCAGCCGGTACCTGAAATACAGGACAGCCTTGTGGGCTTCCTTGCCTGTTTTTTTTACAAGGGACCCTTTCTTAAGACAACTCCATCAAAGAAGAGTCGGAGGAAGATTTTAGGCTTCTTTAGCACCCCCTGCCCCAGCTCTGTGATGCTCAGGGTGGTGAAGATTCTCACCAGTCTCAAAGGCTGGCACCCATTTGTGAGATTTGAGCAGGGCCATAAGGGCGCCACCCACTCCTGTTCTCGTACAAGCCTGAACCTGTTTGAAAAAGCACCCAGAGAGCAGCTGGGAACCTTCAGCGGATGGAACCTCCTGCCACATGATGCAGGGGCGGCAAACTTAGATGGCTTTAGAAAGCATCTCACAAATGCATGAAGCGAGGTATCTTGTCAACGATTAGCCATGGCAATGAAATGGCCTCTGTGTTGAGAACTTCTCGTGGGCAAACAGGAAATTCTGATTTCTTCCACCGTCTTCCTTGCAAGGGCTTCCAAACAGCCTCTGATGCACTAAGATACACTATTATTGAAGAGGGAGGTTTCTTTCCCTTGCAAAGCCTGTACCTGTCTCCTCAAGAGGCGAAGCCCATGGAATAGAGTGGGACTCACACCCAGGTAAATGCATGCAGGATGATATCCAGAAGTGCCTTACTGGGTTTCTTTAATTGCCTTTAAAGTCATCTGTGCCCACGGCCATCACCACATTTTGGGGGGGGGGCAGGGGGATTCCAGAGGTTTTTCTTCCGTTTTTCTTTTTGGCACTTATCATACCTGAATGCTGGGAACCCACAGCTTTCCTTTCGTGTTTTTCCTGAAGGGTATCCCTTTCTGGCAGGAAAAGAAACAGGGAGAATGAGATGGCAGAATAGGCAGCAGAGGGAAGCCTCTTTGGCTGACATCCTCTGTGACTCACCTTGATCTTCTTCCTGGCTGGTCCCTTCATTTGTTGGAAAGATGCTGGTCGCATTGGCTCCGTCCTCCCACAGGGTGGTTGGAGGCGTAGACAGCTGTGCGGGTCCATGCTAGAGTGGCAAATACGGGCATCAGCTGCAACGGCCTACGGAGGGTATGCTTTTGATTCCTACAGAATACTTCATCAGGTTGGAGGCCAAGCACAACACGGAAGGGGGCCTTTTGGGGTTCGGGGAGAACAGCTTCCAGAATCCTGCCGGCAAGCGAGGCCAGGGAGACAGCTGGAAATTGTAGACTTAAAAAAAGGGAATGTTTCCAAGCTGATGGGGCTTGGGGTGAGGGTTAAAAGTTAAAATATGGCATCTGAGCCCACTTGACTTGAGTCTTTACTTTTGGATAAGGCACTAACCCAGACCTTATTTAAATAAGCAAATACAGTGATACCTCGCACAACGAATCCCGCCACGAAAAACTAGGCACTTCGCAAGACAATGTATTCGCGAAGGCTTTCACAGCCGGGATCTAATGGTTGTTGTGGGTTTTTCGGGCTCTTTGGCCGTGTTCCGAAGGTTGTTCTTCCTGACGTTTCACCAGTCCCTGTGGCTGGCATCTTCAGACAGAGCATGGACAGAGTTCTAACTCCCGTCCTCTGAAGATGCCGGCCACAGAGACTGACGAAACGTTAGGAAGAACGACCTTCAGAACATGGCCAAAGAGCCCGAAAAACCCACAACAATCACTTCGCAAGACAGTTTTTCCTATGGCTGTGCTTCGCAAGACGATTTTTTTCATCTTGCATTAATGCTTTGCAAGACGAAAAATGGCATTCTTCTTGCGAGGCACTTCATAGGAATGCATTGAAGACAATTTCAATGCATTCCTATGGGAAACCGTGCTTTGCAAGACAATCGTTTTCATGATACGAAGGCACTCACGGAACAAATTGTTTTCGTCTTGCGAGGCACCACTGTAAATAAGTAAATGGATTTGCAGAAATTGCTCAGCTTTCTCCGTGGATTCGTCTTTGGCAGGAGTAAAATGATCAGAGCGTGGGTGGGAACGCAACCTTTGGGCGTGACAAGTCCTGGGATCTGAAACGGATGCAGCCAAGAGTGCTGGAAGAAAGCCAAACGCAGGGCTGAGGTGGAACCCCCCAGATGTGAGGCTCCCCGGATCCCCCTCTTGGTTTTCCCTGGGATTCTGTGGGTCAAAGCACGAGACACTGAAAACACCCCCCACCAAGCCCAACATGCCAAAAGAGAGAGGGGGGGTGAGGGCTGTTTGGTGGCAGTGGAATGAGGGGGAAGTAAAGCATGAGATGAAAACATTTGCTCTTAAAGGTTAGAGGCACCCGTTCGCTCATCTCCTATGGAACGAATACTTCGGATGGGAACGCGCTTCCCGTCTGTGGCGGCAAGCGCATCCCTCTTGGCTTACTTTCGGGGATCCACACCAGGGCATCGCGCGATTCCACCACAGGGTCGCCGAGTCCAGCATTCCCCGGGTGGAGTTCCGCAGCACAGACGGTTCCCTCCCCAGCCGTCTTCCACCGGCTGAACTTGTCCTTCTCTCGGGAAAGGAAGGCCTTGTGGCCCCCGGGCTTCGTGCTGAGGTGGAGGCCATAGCCCGGCAAAGTCAGGTGGCCCTTTCGGCTGCACACCCAGGCCTGGTGCGTCCCGGCAGCCTCTCCGCAGGTCTCCAGCTGGGCCAGAGCGAATTCTTGGGGGTCAGAGATGGCCAAGCACTCCCCGGTCTTCTGGTTGACGACGGTTCGGGCGGCTGCCTCCCAGCGCCACTGGTAGTAGGGGGAATGGGGCTTGCAGTCGGCCAGGCCCACCTTCTCTGCTTCGTGCGAGGAGGCGTGGAGGCACTTTTCCAAGCGGGCATTTTTAATGAGGAAGCCACCCCCTCTCAACGCTGCGGGGAGAATAAAGCAAAGCGTCCGTTTGCCCTGGTTGTGAGTTCAGGTCCGACGGGCGCAAGAACCTGGACAGAACTCCTGAGATCGTACACATTGCTAAAACCGTTCATTCTGCGGTAACCTAAAAGACAAGCAACCGATACCGCTCATCTTTCAAAGGACAGCGTTTCGAAAGTAGTGGCCAAACCGTATACCAGTTTGCTTGTCTTCCCTTTTTAACAGGAAAGGAACTTTTTAAGGGTTCACGTATTAAATGTAACACATTATTTCCAAGTTCCGCTCAAATGCAAAAAAAGGGATAGTGATCTTTTAGGACTGCCTCTCCCAGAATGCTCTGGCTAACATGTCAACTACACTTCCCATAATCCCCCAGTCAAAAATTATTTCTTGTTCATTGATTCCAAACTCTCTCTCTCTCTCTCTCTCTGTGGGCCTCTTCCGTTTGCCCTGGACCACCAAATTATCCCAATCTGCCCCCTCTTGGACTACAGTGTCTATCATCCTCAGCCAACAACTGTGGGCTGTTCTGGCCGAGGGTGGAGGGGTTTTGGAGTCCCCCTGGAGGGCATCAGGTCGAGGAAAGCTGCACTAAAGGTTTGGTCTCAAGTGGCAGGATCGGAAGAAGACAGGGGTTTGGCTCAAAAGGGAATTCAGAATATGTACGGCATACAGAGTTGGAGTTACCGCCCTTTGGCTGCCAGGGCTCTGCCCTGGGGGAAATCCTGTGGTTTGTCGTTGGGTGAGGTTCTTAGAATTCGCTGCTGCCATCCGGGAAAGTTCTTTAGCAGGAAATTCTACGTACCTCCCGAAACTACAAACCCCAGGTGTATTGGATGGGAAATTTGCTCTATAAAGCCATCCATCACCATCCTGTGCCATCAACTAAGGCACAAGGGGCTTAGTTGCCTCTACCAGGCCTCAGAAAAGGTCGTTCTTTGGGGTTAGGATTGGTCCAAATTGTCCAGTAAGGACATCGGAAGAGAGCCCTGGCTGTTGAAACGTTACCCAAATGCTATAACTGCACCACGGAGTTTCTTTTGAATAATAACCACTGCATGCCTTCAAGTTCGGACTTAATGGTGACCCCTCTGTTTCCAGGTAGAGACTACTCAGAAGTGGTTTATCCTTCCCTTCTTCTGTGCAGCTGGCCCAAGGCCACCCAGGCTGGCTCTTCTCTCGGGAGGCTCATTGGGGGAATCGAACCCCCAACCCTCTGGCTCTGCAGCCACTTTGCCAAACCCACACTGAGCTATCCAGCCAGTGGATTCCTTTTTAGTGGCTGTTTTGGTTTGACCAGCAGCTCTGGAGAGAGGGAAGTTTCAGGCCATGCTCTTCAAGCTGCAAGTGTTCATATCAAATGCTCCACCACCACCAGCACCACCAATGGCTACCAGCATGCAGAGATTCCAGGGTTAGGGGCTTCAATAACAATGTCTACTTTTCTTGCCTCCTGCTCTAGCTCTTAAATGGTTTCTTAAAGCAATAAATCCACATTTTCTCTCTAAACAAAAATTTCTTCAAGGTCAATGGGAGCTGTTCACACACCACTAAAAGAAAAAAGTAAATTATTAACAGGGAGGTGGCCGGTACATGAAGGAGAAGCCGGCTGGGCTTCCTTCGCTTGCCTTCTGTTGGGCTGAAGGCCACCTACCAGTGTCCAAGGAAACATTCAGCTGAATGTCCAGATAGATTTAGTACATGGAATGGAAGAGGAGCATAATTTAGTTTTTTTATATCAGGCAGTCCAATGTTTTGAAGCAGCCGTGTTACTGCGCTGGCTCATCGGAGGGTGAGAGGGACGGGCACCGTAATGGGCTTCTGGAACTGGTTCACAATGTGCGCCCCCCTCCAATGAGCTCCAGAATTTCCTGTCCATGACAAACACAGCATTTTAAACTAGGTGTATACATCACAAGAATAACCAGCAGCTGGGAAACTGAAACACAATCCAGGGCAGGAGAATAACATACAATACATGAAAGGCTCCTTCTCTTAAAGGAAATCCTACACGCCCCGGCGTGTTTATGGATTTTGGAGGAAAAGGAAGACTTGTGGGGAGGGGAGAGGACGTCGGAACCAGCTTGCAAAAAGAAAATGTAACCCAGCGTTGAGATCTAACCTGCGCTGCATGAGGGACTTTAGAAATCTTGCATGACAGCGTCCGCAAAACCACACTTCACAACAGTCCAGATTGATCCGTTGACCTCTTTGTCCGGACGGGCAGATGCCAGCAGTCTCCGGCAGTGGGGAAGGGCTCCTCAGACGTTGGAATGGGGATGCCCACTGGGAGACAGAGAGGGTGGCACATCTGTGGTGTGAAAAATAGTCTTGTGGGCTTAATTTGGGTAGCGTGAAAAGGAGATGGCATTTTGGGAGCTGGGGCACAGCTACGTCACAGATAATCACTTGCCAACTGCTGCAGGAGTGTCTATTAAACCACCAGTATGCCCTGCTTGTATGTTCAGGTAACGGGGGGCGGGGGCGGAATACAGGTAAACTACATAAATAAAAGAAAAATAACTTATTCTTTCCCAGTAGCCACAGTCGGGTATCAAACTCCCAACCTCAGGACCCCAACATGCTGAGCTATGAGGTCACCCAGGGCTTATATGTGCATGCTATTCTACAACATTTTAATGAGGTACGCTAGGTTGAAAGTGAGCCCTTTGCCCACAAGGCCACCCAGTGTTTTCTTACTGAGCATCCTTTCATTTGGAACCAGTTTCTCCCTACCAGAGGCTCGTGGCACCGTGGTTAAAACTGCGGCACTGCAATGAAGCCTCTGCTCATGAGCTGAGTTTGATCACAACCAGCTTGGGTAGCTGGCTCGAGGTTGGCTCAGCCTTCCATCCTTCCAAAGTGGGCAAACCGAGGACCAAGCTTGGGTTGGGGGGAAATATGTAGCCTGCATAATTAAAATAGCATACCGCCCAGAGATTGTGTTAAGTGCTGTGAGGAGGTAGATCAGCAGCACACTTTTTATCTTGCTTTATTAACTCTTAGCTCTCTTAGATCTGCCATTTGGGATGCGCCGTTTGCATATTCCTGATGCCCTTTAACCTCTGCAGGCCCCAGACTTCCTGGACTGAGGTTGGCCTCAACGCCAATGAGCCTTTAAACGGCCACCGCCGCGCCACTGTACACACCAATTTGGGCATGGGAAAGAACCTCCCGTTGCCAGGAGAATCCGCTTCACAACAAACGAAGCACAAAGACCGATCCTCTCGCTTTTCCATGAATGCCATCCATTTGGCAGCGAGAAAAATTATGTAAAACAGCCGGGGGGGAAGGACGGGTGAAAACAAACTTACCCTGCAGCCAGGAAAGGAAGATCACCCAACGTAGCCTCCACTTGAAAAACCCCATTGTCCCTGGACCAAAGAAAACCGAGGGGGGGGGGAGAGGCAGGCACTGGAAAGGACGAACTGGACCGACACGTTGCAGGCGGCTTCACTTTGCTTTCNTTTCATTTCACCGGGGAGACCCTGAGGACACGTCCGGGACAGGGCAGCCGCATGAGACGACCGATCGCAAAGAGACGTCTGTTCTCGAACAAGCGGCTGCGGTGGACTGAGCGTGTAGTAGAGTTCTGAGTGTCGCAGAGTTCTTCGGCGACCAGGGTGAAAAAGGGACGAGGGTCCTTCCTCCTCTTCTCTTTGCAGGTGGCACTTTCACCGGGGAGACCCTGAGGACACGTCCGGGACAGGGCAGCCGCATGAGACGACCGATCGCAAAGAGACGTCTGTTCTCGAACAAGCGGCTGCGGTGGACTGAGCGTGTAGTAGAGTTCTGAGTGTCGCAGAGTTCTTCGGCGACCAGGGTGAAAAAGGGACGAGGGTCCTTCCTCCTCTTCTCTTTGCAGGTGGCACAGGAGCCAAGTTGCCCAAATGCTGGCTGAGATCAAAATCCGGTACCCAGAGCCGAGCGCAAGAGCAGGCCAGGTCAGGAGAGGAGGACAGCGGGCACAGAAGGCGGTGGGGGCTCTGCTCCTCGGGAGCACGGCTGGCTGAGCGGTGCGGGAGGAGAATGCTAAAAAGCTTGTTGATGTTGTGAGAGGGAGGGAAGCTCACCGCTGAGATCTGGAGGAGAGCCAAGGGCTTTTGCCCAGGAGGCCTGGAAAGCGGTCGCCCGGGGAGCTAAATGATGCCTCTTTGCCACCAGCCTGGCTGTCTTCTGAGTCTCATGGGTTGGGGGGGGGGAGAGAGAGAGAGGAATGCTAGTCAGGGAACCTCCCCAAGAAGGAGCTACATTCGGTCTCTCTCAGCACCTTAGCAAAATTAAACAGGGGAAAAGAACAGGAGGCACAGACACACAGACACAGAGAGAGAGAAAACAAAAATATGGCACTTAAAAAGCTAGCGGATTTATTTCCGTGGATGAAAATCCACTTCTTTGGACCCAAGGGGCGCCACAATGACATCCTCTATAGCTGGTCACCCTCACAGCGGTGAGAGTCACGACCAGGTGAGGATGCAGGTAAAAGACAGCATGATGATGCCTTGTTAACATAGGAATGTGGTCATCCGGCTGTCCATTTATTCCTTATGGTGGTTGGACCCAGCTGTTGCGATCCACAGTACGACAGGTCGATCAGGCTAAGAGTTGTTTCTGGGAGTCCACGTCTGTCAAAAGAGGGAACTCTTTTACACCCATAGGATGGGAAGCTGGTGCTTATTAAGAGGTGCAGAGAGCGAAGGAGCCTAGATTTCTATCTGGGCTCTTTCAGAGGCAGTGGAACCTGTTTATGTAGCCGATTCCCACTGTTTTCCTTTTGATTCCCTCTTCGTCGTTCCTGTTTTCGAAACAGAACAACCACTTTGAGATTTATCATGGAGTATCCTGGGGGGGAGAGGTGTTGTCGCTTTCTGAAACTGGTTTCTCTACGTTGCCATTTCTGACATCCAATGTCTGTCCGTTCTTTGTCAGGTGCTTGCTTCTCCCGGGCAGACTACTGCCAGAGCCTCCACGTGTGTAGGATAGACAAGGCAATCGTTCCAGAAAAAAAAAGCTTGGCAAAACTTCTGTTCATACTCTTGAGTAGTGTGGGGAAATCACATTTTCAGAAAAAAAATGCACATTGCAAAACTTCTGTTCATACTCTTGAGTAGTATGGGAAAATCACATTTTCAGAAAAAAATTTCACATTTTCAGACGGACGGACGGACGGAAAGAAAGAAAGAAAGAAAGAACATTGTTTTCTTCTGTTGCCACCCTGAGGAGCTGAGGTGAATGGCAGCCTGGGAACACAGCCTGTTAACGTTGCTGCAGTCTGCCCATCCAGTCCCCTGTAAGTCAGAGTAACCCTCGAGTGACCCAAGAAAGAAAGAAAGAAAGAAAGAAAGAAAGAAAGAACATTGTTTTCTTCTGTTGCCACCCTGAGGAGCTGAGGTGAATGGCAGCCTGGGAACACAGCCTGTTAACGTTGCTGCAGTCTGCCCATCCAGTCCCCTGTAAGTCAGAGTAACCCTATGAACGAGTGACCCCCAAACTATTTCCTGCCATTAACAGCTTTCAGAGAAACTCATACGGTTCCTGTCCTGATAGCCGAGCTGGCTAAGGGTGAGGTCTGCCCCACACGTCCCAGGAAGACAGGCGGTGAGGGGGAAGACCTCTCTGTTTTGAAGCCGCCTTTCGGCAGCTGCTTAGGGTGCCTGGACCAGATGTCGCCAGTTGGGTTTCTGCACGGGGACCCTAAAGACGAATGCCGCCCAGCGTCCCTGACTCGTTCTCTCGGCCAACTTCTCTCTCCTCTGAAGCAATTCATGCTTCCCAGCCATCACTGCCCCAAGAACAGGGACACCGCAGCCCTGCAGACTGGGGTGCCCAGGGAGGGGAGGGGGGGCTTCCAGACTTCTGTTGCAACACCCAGTTGCCGAAATGTTCATCCAGATTGGACCGCAGGACGCCACACACCTTTCCTGCTGCCGGCAACCCTCTGCCAAATTTCAGCTGCAATTCTGAGGCACCAGAAAAAGGGGCCTCTCATCCCGCCACCTTTTCCCCAGAATAGCTGCCCGTAACAGACTCTTACCCTCCATCTCCCCCTTCTTCAGCTCCAGGACCAAACTGGATCCAAGGAAGGGCACTGTGGGACCTATCAGCTGTGTGTGTGTCTGTGTGTGCATGTGTGTGTGTGTGTGGGGGGGCCCTGGGATGTGGTTTCCAGGGATTCCACCCCCATCCCCAGAAAAATGAAAAACAAAAACAAAAACAGCCAGTCAATACAGAATCACAATACAGGTCTCCAGCAGGCTCGAGACTCCGTGTCATTGCTATTATCTCACATGCCTGAAATTATTCTAAAATATCCTTCCATAAAAACTGGGAAATCTGGTAGCGGAAAAAAAAAGGGTTCTTCCATCCACACCACCCCCATCCCCAGAAAAATGAAAAACAAAAACAAAAAACAGCCAATGAATACAGAATCACAACACCAGAGTTCTCCAGCAGGCTTGAGACTCTGTGTCATTGCTATTATCTCACATGCTTGAAAATATTCTAAAATATCCTTCCATAAAACCTGGAAAATCTGGTAGTGGAAAAAAAAAAGGATTCTTCCATCCACAAGATGGGGGGGCCCAGAAAAATGAAAAACAAAAACAAAAAACAGCCAATGAATACAGAATCACAACACCAGAGTTCTCCAGCAGGCTTGAGACTCTGTGTCATTGCTATTATCTCACATGCTTGAAAATATTCTAAAATATCCTTCCATAAAACCTGGAAAATCTGGTAGTGGAAAAAAAAAAGGATTCTTCCATCCACAAGATGGGGGGGGGAGCCCCAATAGCCTTAACAGCAGTTTCCACCCAGGTGTTCTTGAACTACAACTCCCAGAAATCCTGGCTGGCACAGCTCAGGGTGAAGGCTTCTGGGAGTTGTAGTTCAAGGAATACCTGGGGACCCAAGGCAGGTTGGACCACTGCCTTACAGGCTAGTGATAAAGCAATGGCTTGACCACTGGGCAAAAAGCACAGAATCTTAAATTCACATTTTAACATCTTGTATTTATTGCACGTTTATTGGTTTTGCTGTTTTTAAATTTCTAATGCCGGCCAGAGTAGACCTTTGGTCTAGATGGGCAGGGTATAAATCGAAATAAATAAAAAGAAATGCAAAGGATGGTTTTTCAGGCCACTTTCCCCGTGGTTTCTCTGAACCATAAAAGTTTCCTGGACAACCATTACGAAAAGGAAGGAAGGAAGGAAGGAAGGAAGGAATATATTTTTGCAGGAAAATATTGACAATGCAGAGAATAGCGGATGATGTCCCCACTAGGGGACCTTCTTATCTAACAGGAGAATTTTGTTCTCGCTGAACGAATGTCTTTTTTTCCCCACACAGAGGTATGATCTGTTTCCACCAGCCCGTTTCCTGTTCCCGGAGGCCTTCCTCCTTGAAGCTGCTTGTTTACTCCGCTCCCTTCCCCCTCAACTTGGCTGAAGCTCCTACACTGGGGAAATCTGGGCGTCTGACAGCCTGGAAGATTTGCTTGCATAAGAGCTCTCAGGGCAGCTGAGTTTGAGCAGAAAAAGCCTACACGAGAGGAGGACACAGGGTTCTGGTGAGTTTGGTGCATGTGTGCAAAATGCTCTTTTTCCAAATTCATTTATTAGAGAGCTTGGCTCCGCTGGAGAGCTGTCCTTTCCCTGCATCCTGACACAGCAGTCTCTATTCCTGGACCTTGGAGAGCTGTTGGTAAACATGCTCTGAGTCAAGCCGATCAAAAAAAGCCCCCGTGGGCAGAACAGCCACAGTTTAGAGCCACCGATCCCAGCAATAAGGTCTTTCATATTATGGAAATGCAATCTTTTCATCCCAAAGGAAAGGAAGGAAGGTTAAAGAAGAAAGAGGACACGGGACTGACGCGCAGCCCCGGATCTCCACCATCGCCGGGGCTACCTCTTGGCGTTGATGCATTCTTTGGGATGGGACTTGTCTCCGCCGTGCTGGTCGGATGTTTCTACATGCTTCTGCTTCAGAAGATCACTAGAGTGACTTTAGCCGATTTGGACCTTCAACGGGATGGGTTTATCATCAAAAGCCAGAACGGAGAGACGATCTTCAAGCTAACCTTCCAGTCAGGCCACCTGGACCTGGAATCGTGCTCTGAGGAAGGGGAGGTTGTAGTTTGCACCAGGACCGACGAAAGGACCTTGAATTTCGTCATCAAGAGGGTCCAGCCTGAGCGTTCGATTCATTGCTATCATGTTGGCTGGGAAGAGTTTGTGGCGGAGGCGGTGGTGGAACACAAGATCTTCTGGGCGGATGCACGTTGGTACGGAGGCTATGAGATGAGCGCCCAGCACTGGCCACTCAAGCTACCAGGGAGTCAAGAACCCATGCCTTTTGTGAGCAGCGATGTGTATTCTTTTAGGAACACCTTTGGGGGCATCTTGGAGAGGTACTGGCTTTCTTCCAAAGCATTAGCCATCAAGATTAATGACTCCGTGCCCTTCCACCTGGGGTTCAATGCCACCGAGAGGTCCCTCACCTTCCAAGCACGATACAAGGACTCTCCTTATGCACCTCCTCTTGGGCAGCATCCTTTCCCAGAGCTGAGATATCAGATCTGCCTGGCTCCAGACATAACCTCTGTCCATAAATATATGGCCAAGAGCTTTTTCAAAAAACCTTTAAGAATGCCTTCGGAAAAAATGTTCAGGTTTCCAATCTGGTCTACATGGGCTGTGTATAAAAAAGAGATTGACCAACGTAAACTTCTGGATTTCGCACAAACGATTCGAAGGCACCATTTCAAATACAGCCACATGGAGATAGATGACATGTACGTGCAGAATTACGGTGACTTTGATTTTGACCCTGCAAAGTTTCCTCGCGTCACCGAAATGTTTGAAAAACTTAAAGAGGATGGGTTTGATGTTACCCTTTGGATACATCCTTTCGTACACAAAGATTCCAAAAACTTTCAGGTCGGAATAGACAACCAGCTTTTTGTGATGGAGCCGATGGGAGCATCTCCTGCCATGGTCAAGTGGTGGAATGGCATTGGAGCTGTCCTGGACTTTACCAACCCGGCCACCAGGGTTTGGTTTCAGAGTCACCTCATACAGCTCCGTTCCAAATACGGCGTATCATCTTTCAAGTTTGATGCCGGCGAAGCGTGTTACCTTCCGGATCCCTCCAAGACCTTCCAGCCTTTATTGGACCCCAGTTCCTGGTCGAAGCATTATGCAGAGATGGCCATTCCTTTTTATGAGCTTGCAGAAGTCCGAGTCGGCTATCGTTCCCAGCATGTCCCTTGTTTCGTTCGTATCATCGACCGAGACTCCATCTGGGGCCATGAGCTTGGCCTGAAGTCCATCATACCTACGGTGTTGACTCTTAGTCTTTTGGGATATCCTTACATATTGCCAGATATGATTGGTGGAAATTTTCTCCCCAACAAGACAGAAGGTGCCACAGACCTGCCGGAGAAGGAGCTGTATGTCCGCTGGCTGGAACTGGCGGCCTTCATGCCCGCTATGCAGTTCTCCATCCCTCCTTGGTTTTATGACATGGAAGTCATGGGAATTGCGCAGAAGTTCCTACAGCTTCGCGAATCCCTGGTTGCTCCCCTCTTGTTGCAACTGGCTGGGGAGTTCGCTGACAGCGGGGACCCCCTCATACGGCCCATCTGGTGGATTTCTCCCAACGATGAGGCGGCGCACACAATAGATTCCCAGTTTCTTATTGGGGACACCCTGATGGTGGCCCCCATCTTGGAGAGGGGCAAGCGACAGCGAGACATTTATCTCCCCGCTGGAAAATGGCGCACCTATACAGGAGAGGTGTTTCAAAAGACGCCAGTCCTTCTCACGAATTTCCCCGTTGACCTCAGTGAAGCCGCTTATTTCTTCTTGGTTTCGTAACCTGCTTCAGGGCCAGGTAGAGGACTCCAGGACCTCCTCATTGACCATTGACAGGCCCATTGGCTTAATCTGCTTCCCTTTCAATGAACCATTTCCCCCACGTACAGCAATTTTGCTAACGGCAATAAACACTTGTCCCTGTGTATATCTGGCTTTTCATTCTGCCAAGCCCATACTTCTTATCTTCGTCTTCCCAGAAAAGGAAGGAGAGTTATCTCATAATTTCAGACCAAGTTAACCAACAGACACTCAGTAAACATGGAGGAAGGCTAAATGCCAATATCTTTCAATGAGTGAGAAGGATCCTGGCAGATCAAAAGCGGAATATGAGCTAACAATGCATTGTGGATGCTAATA